TGAAAATTGTTGTCTCTGTAAATGTTTCACCGAATTATATTTCTTTTATTGATTGTTAGTAGTCTCTCTTGCAATTTTAATCGCTTGAACGTGCTGTTTGTTTTCATCGTTCATGAACATCGCTTACAGGAGTACTCAAAAATGTCGCGCGTATCAAACGCTTTATAAGATTACACATTGTTATAACTGAAACCATTAAATAACAAAAAATAATAATAAATTCGTTATTATGTTGAAGCGTAACTCTATTAAAGTTCATTCAAACACTCGACCACACTGACAGCTCGCACTAGAAATGAGAACCGGCTGGCCGTATGGGTGATTTTGAAATTTTTCGAACGATTTCGCTAAAAGCCCACGATTAATCGTCCTGAATATTTACTAAGTGCAATTTGTGTTGAAAAATTGTGAAATACCGCATTCTGTCCGAGGTCTGTATGATAGATAGTATTGTTTTACCTCAGATGTGATGTATAAAGAAGCTTAAACAGTGTAAAAGGTTGTTGGTTGTTTAACACACCCCCAGATTTGTTGGCAAGAATTTGTAAAGTAAACCTGTTGAACGCAAAAAATTCGGACTGATTTGTTTTCCAAGAATTTGGTTTCGAGGCCTAATCTAGTGTGATCAAGAACCAAAGTTTACTCTAGGCGTGAAAATTTTCCTACTGAGATTTAAAAGTTTCAGGAAAATTTTACTTCAGCCTCCAACCTATGTGTGTTGAAGAAGGGTGCGTTCGCGTTGATGTTATTCAAAGCGAGCGTTCGATTGCAAACCAAAACAATACATTACAACATGATTTTTAACTTGTAATTTATACTATCACAATTAAGCTCTCTTTAAGATAAAGAAAAGTTTTTTGTCTTGGTAGACAATTCTTAATCTGAGTGTCAAACAAGAATAAAACAATTAACGAACTTAAAGGCCACAGGAAAGAAAATACAGTAAAGATTTCCTTTGGCTGAATATTTACTTTAAGATTAATTAAATCGAGGGGGATAAAAACTGCACAATAAGGCTTTATAAAAAGAGCTAATTACAAATACCAATCTTACGGTTTTGAAGTGAATTCGAATAAAAGAAGGCGATGTGGGTAACTAAACAATTGTATGAACAAAGAAATAAAAAAAAGCAATAACTGACTGCTGAAAAAGTTGTGCGTGTTGTCTGTTCAAGATTGAAAGCTACATGCAATCGTTGACAACAACCTGTTCTGAAAACTAGCGAGGCAAAATTCAATGAAAAACGGCAGAATCTAGATTCAGACAGCAAAAATGGAAAAGAAACCTACAAACGGAGGAACAATGTCGAATAAACGGTGCATAAGAGCAAGATTGCAGTACATACAGCGTAGGTTATAAAGTTAGTGAAGCGACATCACGAGCCGCCTGTTTTCCTTTACTTTAGCGATTTCCCTGGCTGACTTGCTGGATTCTCCCTTCAGATGTTTTTTTGGTTGAATAACAAAATACACTTTTTTCTAGCTAACGCTAATGATAGCGCAAGTTTTAATAGAAGAACGGTTAAAAATCAGCAGTTTTTCTCATTCACAAACAACAAACAAACTTGTGAATAAAGCTGCCAACGATTCCGCCCGGGTTAGTGGGCAAGATCGTAAAAAACTGCCCGCTCTTGGAACCAATCAGATTGCAGGATTTGGGGGATTCCGCCCGCTCGCAAGCCTAGAAAAAGTGAAATAATTTATCTTTGAGAGCTTTATACCGCGCTTTACATGCCTTCTCGCAATTTAACTTCACTTTTTCGTTAGCGGCGTTAAGTTCATTGACTTGCCTGTTGAGCTCATTCAGGCCATCCTCCATCTCCTTCACCTTCGCTCTTGCTTCAGACTGGTTTGCCTCAAGTTTATTGATATGAGCTTCCAGATTGTCAAATTGTCAAATTTCTTTTCTTGGCTGGAGACAGAGGAAGAAATCTTTTCTAGTTTTTTGTCCATTTCCGCTACCTGTGCGAGAACGCAATCTATTTTTGACCCCAGGTTTTCCGTCATTCTTAAGGCGTCTAAAATTTCGTCCAACGAATAATCTAGTAGTGAATTACTCTCACTCAAGGAAACTTAATTAACCTTTTTCTCCTCCGGAGAACGTAGCACACCGTCTGTCACACTTGAAACGCTTGACCCGTCTTTGGTTTTTTTTTTTTTTTGCTGGACATAAAGTTGTTTTGGCCAATATTAAGTTGATATTTGGTTATTGAAGAACGAAAAGTGCGGAGAAGCTTTAGGCACGTCTATTTGCTCCGCATGCCTCGACCCAGTCTTCTCGACCTCTTTCGAAGCTGCTCCTTGCTTATTTGTAAGAGTTTCATTCGCCTTGTTACTTTCTCTTCGCCAGTTGCCCGAAAATCTTCTTCTAAGATTTGGTTTGGTTTTCCCCTCCGCAAGGTGTTTGGGGGTAAGCACTGGTTGCTCAAACTCTTCCCCCTGATAAAGAATTGGACGGCTGTTCATGCAGTTCTCTATGTCCAGCAAGACATCTTCAAGCTCTGGATAGGTCAGGAGGCTTCGGCCACACGTTATTGAGAGAGCTCTCTTCGTGATACCAATAAGGCGCTCAAAGAACCCTTCTCACAATGGGGTTCGGGCTAGGTTAAGCTTCCACTTTATGTTCAGCACTCCAAGATTATGCAAGATTATGCAAGATTATGATCCTTCTTGAACTTAGGCAACCACGTTTCAGTGGCCATGTCTTCCCATTGTCACTTACGATTTGTCTATGGGCATCCACGCCTGACAATAAACTCCTTTAGGGCTTTTTGAAATTCAATGGCAGAGAGATCATGACAGAGCTTAAGGTGCACAGCGCGGGTACTGGCACAGGTAAATAGTACAATGTACGCTTTCCCATTATTACATTTCTTCACCTTGCAGTGAACTACAGCGGCAAGGTCAACAGTTCTTGTTACACCTCTGCATACAACGCGGCGGGGAACTGATATACATTCAAGATTTTCTAACAATCCCTTCAGCCATTTGTTCCAGGATCTGCAAATTTCATCAGATACTCTTTCATTCCACTCGAGTTTGCGTAAGCAAGTTTCGCTTTATAGGATCTTTCCTGTGATCAGTACTGGAGAAGCAGGACCCAGCGTGTCATATACACCATTCACAACCGATAGTATTTTACTCTTTGTTACGGCTTCATGAAGCCAATAGAAAGTTCATCTTCTATCTTGTTCCAAGGAACTCACAGTATTTTTGTTCCCTTAGGACTAGTTACTACCTCTAACTTTGCATAAGTCGTACTTGCTTGAGGGGATATTACGTCGTCTTTCAGTCTCTGATGCTCTTGTAACTGTAGTAGGTTACTGCGTCATTTTTGAAGGTAAAAGCCACCTTCTTCCATAATCCTTGTGGCCTCTTCTTTGAACTTAACCAACTCATCTCTGTGATCTCCATCTGATTAAACACCATCCACATAAGTGTTGTTCAGCAACTCATCGGTGGTAGAGGGAACCTTCTCAGCGTACTGACTCATGTGTTTCTTAAGGGTCGCCCCGAGAATGTAAGGACTAGGTCCTGACCCAAAAATTACTCTTGTGAATCGATACTCTGTAACTGTCTTTGAATCGAGGTATTGGTACCATAAGAGGCGAACAGCATCCCTGTCCTTTGGATCAACCTTAATCTGTAGGAAAGCCTTTTGAATGTCTCCGGTGATACATAGTAACTTCGGGCGATTTCGGAGAAGACAGTGATTCAAAGAAGGTGCTTGAGAATTGGCCTGAGCAATCATACACTATCCTCATCTTTGTAGACCACCTGGTCTCTGATTACTGGTTGATAAGGAATGTAATGTATGGCTTCTCCAGTGGGCATTTCTCCTTCCTCTAACTGCTGTTCCATTAATGTGTGATACTCCTCAAGTCTTTGCATCCTTTCTAGCTTTCGTGTGACACTTCTTAACCTCTCTACTGTCAGGTCCTTGTTTGAAGGTAAACATGCATAATCAGGATTCCAAGGTAACCTTGTATAATAGGTGCCATCCTCTAATCGCTGCAGTTGACCTATTAAATCTTCATGAAAGGAATCATGTACATTCTCCACATCTGTCAGACCAAGCACTTCCTAAGAACACATCTGAGCGAATTCGTTTCTATTAGTGGCCATGAAGAACATCTTTTCTGCCTCAGCACAAGAAGAGGTAGACTTTCCAGGAATAACCCATCCCAAAATGGTGAACTCTGCTCCGGGATCAGTGTACAGGTTTGGACCTAAGATTGGAAGTTCAATTCACCTAATTTGTTAAATATCAGCTGCTCCAAGGATTATGTATACTAGTACCTTGTCTATACTTGCTTGCTCCTCACTAAATATCAGCCTCCTGATACGATAATTCTGTTGCTTCAGCTCAGAGATTCTTGGCTTAGGCGGGTAGGTTAACACAGGCTTCTCGGCATTGACACATCGCAGCTCCATTCCAAAACTATCTATGACATTTCATTCACGATGGACCTTACAGATGTCGCCTCCTTTGTGTACCGTTCAACACATTTGCTCAATTACTCTGCTCTCAGTTCTGTATGGCTTAATGTTTAGTTTGGTTAAAAGTTTTGCACTGATGCATGAGCTACCTGCTCCACTATGAAGCATGATCTGTGTCTTCCCTCCATTAACTTTAGCTAGCACTGTAGAGTGTAGGGTCGTTTAAAAATCATTTGCACCATAGAACTTGTCGGAAGGAGGCGTAGTACCAGCATGACACTTAGGTGGAAGAGTTGTTAAAGTCTCGTCACAAATAGAAGTATGATGCCTTCCGTTACGCCTTCCACATCCACGGGATTTGCACTGGTAAAAGGCATCTCCGGGTTTTGCGCAATCGAAGCAAAGCTTGTTCTTTTTTAGAAAATCTCTTGTGCTGGCAATGTCATTCTGAACTTCTTTGTTGACAGGAGTTATAATATGCACAGGGTACCCAAGTTGGTTGTAGCCTAGGCATTCCTTGCTTTGAGCCAGACAAAAGCATTTTTTTCTCCTCTTCTCCACTTATTTCCTTGATTCCCCAACGGTTTCGTGACATCTTGATTGAGTAGCCACCTCAGGTAAGGGGTTTCTGTCAGTGTACTTGCGTAGATTTTCCACTAACTCCTTTAATCCCCATTCTTCCCAATCAATCAATCAATAAATCAATCATTTATTTTAACACGTTACATCAAAGAGGTGAAAAACGCGTTCAAAATACGAACGTGTATAAAACCTTTGTTGAAGGAAAGATCTTTGTTGAAGGAAAATTCTAGTATGGTGGGAGATACATCTGACAGGTAGGTAGTCGTGTGATCAGCGTACAGCTGCAATCAGACATTAGGAACACAGGAATTCAAGTCATTAATGAACATGTTGAACAGCAACGGCCCCAATAGTGAACCTTGAGGAACGCCAGATTTAACTGTTTGGAAGTTAGAGCATACGCCTTCTAATCTAACACATTGTTGACGACCTAGCAGGTAGGTGGACATCAGTTCCAAGGCATGTGGAGAAAAGCCATAGGCCTTCAACTTCGCGAGCAGAAGGCTGTGGTTTATGGCGTCAAACGCTTTGCTCAAGTCCACAGCGACCACCTCTACAGCTTCCTTGTTATCAATACTCATCATCTTTTTGTGCTAAGGCCTCTATCACTGGACAGAGCTTGTCCACAGTGCTGTAAACATAACTTTGTGCACTTTGCAATTTCTTCATTGTGCTTACGGTTCTCACAGTTCTAGACAGCTGGTTTTAAAACTCATGAATCTCTTTTGTTTTTTGTGATGCTTGTTATGTTTGGCAGTGTTTCTAAATCCTTGATTAATGCCTTGAGAACCTTAATGTCCTTTCCATAAGTTCTAAGATTTTTTCTGCTTCCTCATAGCCTTCAGCAGTGTGCAGTGAGACAATGATATGACCTTTTGGTTCCCCTCCCACTAGTTCACCCAAGTAATTGAATTTACTTATCTAAGAAAGTTTAGAGTTATCAACTTCCACAACAAACGGATTTCAAAGTGTTAGCCAGTCTTTGTAATCCCCTCTAAATGGTGTGATAGAATACTTCTGTAGTTTAACTGCTTGTGGTTTAGTCATTTCCTGTGTGCCCTTTTTTGCTTCTAAAGCAAGTTCTAGCTCAAACTTCTTATGAAACCAGTCTTCGTCTCTCATGTGTGTTTCTTGTTTTTCTTATTCGCTTAACGCTTCCTTCAGTTTATCTCTTCGGTTTTGGACAGGAATAAAATCTTGTTTACGACTGCCTGACCACTGTCTAACCTCGTCAAAACTCTTCTCTGCATCCAACAGGGCGTCTTTCACTCGGTTCACTGAATCCTCGAGTGCCTTGATTGTGTCACGTAGTATCTCGTGCGCCAAACGTAAATCCTCCTTTCCTCCGACGTCTAGTTTTTACTCAATTTCTCCAAAGCAGTACGTTGCCCTTTTTTAATTCCCTCATGTAATTTTCTTCAGCAAGCTCCACCATGTTTCGCGCTAAGCATTACTTTCTTGAGTCTTCACACATTCGATGTTTGTGTCCACAAAGAACAAGCAGTCATGGCAGGGTCGCCACTCTTTGTGTGGGAAAAGAAATCCAGTGCACACCAAATAAATCACAGAAAATCTCAACAGGTTTAACGTCCACAATCCTGTCCACGAATACAAGTAAGAAGCAGTAGAGAGCCGAACAGCAAGGAAGTCAAGAACGCTTCCGATACGTCTTTTTTTCTTACCACGAGGTCTGCGAAAAATACTCAAAACGAGACTACAACAAAACACTTTATATAGCAGTCACAAATGTTCTCAACGTTCTCAAAAGAACAGAGCGACGACAAAGGGACTGTTAAAATATGTTGCCGTTTATATTATTGTCGTTATACTGCAACCGATAAAGCCTCAAGCCTTCAAACTGAACAGCATTGGCGGTAACGAAAAATTCCAATTCCAGAGCGACAGAAGATTTATTCGTATTCTTTTGCGGAGTAAAGACAAAACAAAACTGAACAAGTAACTTTTTAACAAGTCCTTAGGCTACAGTATAGAAAACAAGGTGAACATTTGAAAAATATAAAATACCCTGTTTCAGTGCGGTGATTTCTGGTTAAACGAGTCATAACAAAGTAAAGACAATCAAATATTGAATTTAACCTTAGGTATTCACAAAGTCTGAAACAAAAACATTTCAAATAAAAAATTCAACATCGGCAGAGTTTGGAAAGTCACTAGCCAATGTAAATATACGGCAAATCTAGCTTTTAAAATAACTGTTCGATTGATCGTGTGCAGGGGCTTGTCACTTAGGAATGTTTGTATCAGGCAAGCCTCTCCTGTATCGCTCAATTAAATGAGGAAATTCTCAGTCTTCTTTTATTTGTCCAACGGGATCTTGTTTTTCAAGATTTTCTTGAGAAGGACAAGGTTTCCGAAGTCGGGGACGCATTACTGAGAAAAGGTCGCTTATGGCCCGCTCCTTTGCTATCTTGAACGTTTGAAGTTCAGCGGAAGCCTTCGATTCCTTCTTTTCTAGTTCCTTGACAAGTTTCTGTAACTCGTAAATTTCGGTCTTTGCTTCCGGGTGTTTCTCACTTTTTCCACAAGACTGAAAATCGCCACAGGGTGCTTGTGTACATTTGACTTTGTTGTGACCGGGAAGATGACACTGTGAACAAAGTTTCCCGCGCCTACCGTTCATCTTCTCTGAGAGTTGTTCGAAAGGAAAACGAGAGCCTTTGGAATGTTCTTTCGCGCTTTGGACTTTTGCATGTAGAAATGTTACATTTTCGCTGAGCTCCAGCAGTTTGCTCCGAAGATAGGTCGCGGGACTAATCCCATCAGAGTCGTCAGAACTTGTTTGCGCTGCCGTACTTTCGGGGGGACTGAAAGGTTGAGAAGGCTGATCCTAAGGTGCCTAAGAATAATACGTTGGAGAGATTTGAGTTGTCGGAAACAATTCTTTTTTCCAGAACTGACAAACGGGTCGCCAAAGAAACTCCAGTAGCTTCGCCACTCTTGTTCAGCAGCTCAAGTTCCTTTTCGAGGATCCGTTTTTCTGCAAACAGTAGTTTGTGCGGCGATTTTGTGATAATTTCTAAATCATTTTTCCCTAAATATTTCAGCAAGCTCTTGCTTCTGAAACTACGGCTCTGAAATTAAACGGCTAATCATTCTAAGTTCAACCCATGCGATATTGAGGACAGCCAATCATAAACTTCTGATGGCCGAGATGAAGCCATTTTGCCGCGAGTCTTCTGTTGAAAATTACATGGTCATTCAAGGCGCGAAATTCTTCTGTTTGCGTTCTTCGTTGTCGTCAATCATCTTAGCGGACCTCTTAGGAAACAAAAGTTTACTTCAACGGGTTGAAAAGGTCATGACTTGTGATTTGTGATTGGTAGATTTCGATCCGTCCTGTGTGTTTCTGTATTTCAACTTTTTTTGACGGCACCGACAAACGCAATGGTGGAGGCGGCTTGGGAAAAATCCATGGACTACAGATGTTGCAGAATAAACCGGATTTAAAACTGGATTTTTCATTACAATGCAACTTTTAGCCAGCTTTTAGCATGAATAAAATTAGATGACAAAATAGATGACCGACAAATATCGGCAGTTTTCACTTGCAAATGATAACTGCTATTATTTATTTCAGACATTACGGAATCGCGCCTGTAGAAACGCGTCGCTAGTAAATGGAAATTTTTGTCAATCAAATGTCTCCTATTCTTTGTAGGTGGCAATTGGTGAAACATCGTTATTGTTTTGGAGACAATAGAAGAACAAAAGATATCAGAAAGATCAAGTTATGCGGTCTTAAAGCATGCTGCGTGACTTTAATCAGTTGCAGCATTTCTCATAACTTTCCCGCATTAAAATGTTGGAATGAAAAGTCTGAAGCTTAGCTTATAAAATCTTGATAGCCAAAATAAAAAGGATGCCCAAAAAGGCAAGCATCTGGGAATTCAAAATCGACATTTTTGTCTCCAGCAAAATCCGGCGGATGAACGGTAATTTGCATATAAGTGTAAGTGAAGCGAAATAGATACGAATTGCCGTGGTTGTAAACACGTTTCCTCAAAGTTTTTTCTCCTTTTGAAAGCGTAAATTCGCATGAAAGAACTCAGCATGTACAAAATAATATGAAATGAAACGAGGCAAATCGATAAAGTGGTAAAAAAATTCAGGATATTTCAGTTCGATGGAAGGTAAGTGATTGGGTAGGTGATTTGCATACTGATAAAAACAACTTCTAGTGCAGTTCAAAACCGTTTGTCATTCTGATTGTTTTTCTGGCATTCTATACATTCTGCTGGCCTAAATCATTAAAATATCTTATAAAGTCAAAATATTTATCAAGTTGAGCGTTTGCCTTTCCTTATAAAACAGAGAGTGCGTGAAAGCTTCGATCTATGTATATTCTTAAGTTAAATTACCTTTGTATCGTGGAAACAACACGCTAACACTTGAGTCTGAATCGAAGGACGCGACATGCGTCGGCTTCCTTTGTGAACCCGCAAATAGTCATGGGATCCGCGATTGTGCGGGCGATACTGATCTACAGGCGCCGTTCCGTAATGAAAATGTTTCAAAAACATTTGTAAGCTTATACAGTTGTTTATGTGAAAGTTTTTTTTTTCATTTTAATGAATTATTACATCGATATTTCCTTACAGCGAAGTGTATCTGTGTCTTTGGTCTTTCCAGTAAGCACTAACTGAATTTTCGGCAGTTCGAGTTACGGATCGGATGTTGTCTAATCCAGATTTTATTTTGTATTTTGCCCCTGGCAGTGCAGTTGTTCTGCGTGACAAGCTTTGACATTCGACAAGCAACCGAGACTACATGACCGAAACTAAAATGTCCAAAATTGTAATTCACGGAGCAGCTTTGAAAGGAAGACATGTCTACCAAAACGAAACAGCGGTGGGATGTGCTTACGAGTGCCATCCAGAGAGGGATAACCTATACGACAACAATGCAGTTTCTGTTTCATGGCCACGCTCCCATGGGATTTTCCACTTATCTGCGATTCTTATTTTACAACTTTCACCAAGCAATAAGCATTTTTTGGTAAGTGTACAAAGACGCGAAAACTCCAAAATAACTTCAGCTTAGAAAACATCTGTAGACAAGGACAGCAAAAGCAAATAACATTCCTTTTGAACTCCATTCCAGGGAGACGACAAGATAACAAGCCTTGAACAAGACAGCAAACCTCCGTGGCCAAAGAAATGGGACAGAGGTGGAGGGATTACCTTGCCGATGTTTAGTTTATTGTGCACCAAGAGACTTCCTTCGAGTTTCACAATGCATGGATAAGTCTCTTGCCTTTATACCAGGAGGACATATGACATCTGAAGCTTGGTTGATAAATTTACAAACTGCAAACATTATAACTTTTACAAACGTGTTTTTCCTCGAAGTTAAAATGATGTACTATGTTTGTGTATCAATAAGGGGCCGACCATTTGACTTTGAGGGGGGGCTTAGGGTTTGGGTAATTTGGTTTGGGTAAGAATGCCTTTCCCAAACCTCTGGTGATAGAATTATTCCCCGACGTACAGTGGTGTAAGTTTTTTTTCCAGGATAATAAGGTATCAAAGGTATTTTTCCCCAGATATTTCCTTGCAAGAATTTTTTCCATCGAAATCAGTCTGCAGGATTTTTTTCCTGAAATCACCCATACCACCCAACCCTCCCCCCTCAAAAATGTACTGACCTAACTTTAGTTTTTTGGGCTTCTGTGGAAAATAAAATGAGCATATGAACCAGTTACAAAATATATCCACATTGAATTATCCATTGTAATGCACTGACATGCTTCATAAATAGCGCATTCCGTTTCCTCTTGTGCCAGGTGGGCATTGCGTCAGAGAAAAGCTTTCATCTGATGACAACATAATTCACACGTATCGAACTCTGAAGAGTAGAGTGGTTGGAATATCAGTTGCACCCCACATTCGTTTAGCATTTCAGTAAAAATACGTTCAACGAAATGTCCGTGATGGAACCCACAGTTATCCATTACAACAGAATCCCCTCGTTCAAGAACAGCTGAACCGTCAGCAATTTTCTTCCTAAAAAAAAGTAGTTCTTGACCGTTTGATGGCCCATGTATCACACTGACGTGGTCAATTCCAAATGAAGAGTGAAGTAGATTGATTGTATAGTTTACATTTCATGCATATCACTGGATTCCTAGTGCTGGTTTACCTATAGGGGGATTACCATGTTTTCTGTTGCAAGTAGTTTGGATCACACTGCTCTTGTCAAAACAGTGAACCGTTCCAGGACGCAAATCACTAATTTCATCGAGGAAATCGTTCGTAAATTCAATATGTTCCACTTTTTGTGTTTCTTGTGAAATTTGTTGAATTCTCTTTCTGGTCTTTTGCAGATCTTCTCTAATGCACTTTGATATCGTAGACTTGGAGGGTAAACCCAACGGGTGAACAATTCCGTCAAGAAGTAACTGTTCTTGTACTTCTTGTGAATGTGCACTTGGTTTCAATAATTTTTCGATCTCAACACAGTCATTGACGTCTTGAGTCATCCCATGTCTGGGTGGATTCCTTTTGAAAACTGGGACGGCGCAGTTTGTGTGGTTGTAGGCAGAACACACTTTTTGGACAAAACATCGAATCGTCTTAAGCTCACGCCTGATTTCTCGTTGGGATGTGCCAATGTGATACAGATCCAAAACTTCCTCGCGTAGAATTTGGGAGTATCGACTGTCATTATCATAATACCGTCCAGATTGATTTACGCAAACGCGGCAATTAATTTTCAGGAGATTCTCGACACAGTGCTCAGTTCGAAATTTGAATTTTGCGCTTGCCGAACAAAAACATACAACTGGTCAAGTATTTGCAATTTCACTGTTTAGATCTCGACTTTTGATTGGCTAATTTAAACATTTGTCTCAAAATTTTGTCTTGGTGGCCTCGGTTCGTGTGGTCGCCCTGTAATTCCCATCTAACTGCTGTTTTTGCTGATCTTAGGTGTTTTTTGGCAACACAGACATGAATACTATCGTTTATAACGAACTCAATCAGTCGACTGTAGCACGCTACATCCGTTTCCAACCAACAGCTTGGCATAACCACATATCATTGAGGGTAGAACTCTATGGTTGCAAAGGTACTTAACATTTTGTACTTTTAAGTGGAACAAGTCTTAATTTAAATATTTAAGTTAAGTCACCATTACTTCAGTGCTGACAGTAATACCAGCATTTACTCTGGCGTATTACTTATTTATCGGCCCTGATAAAAATTAGTTTCGTATGTGTAAAACATTGCGCATCCTCTTGTGTTTGTCAAGTAGATGAGTAAATTGTATCAATAATGATACTGTTGTATCCTCTTAATACATGAATTAAAGGATTGTTAGTCGTGAAACTACAACTGAAACTAGCATGAAAGAAAACACAAAACTTGTCGACCATGTGCTCCTTTATACACTAAATTACACGAGAGGTACCCCGCTTACTTCCTCATGTAATATACGGCATCCCTTCATAGCTTGACTTGATGTCTTGGTTTCATCAGGGACGGAGAATGGTTCTTTAGGGCTAGCAGACAGTGTCTCAGAGGTCACAAGATTCTTAACATAGAATGTATCGCTTGAGTACTGAGTCCCACTTGGAGTTTACACGACGACATTGCTGCCAGTCTTTCTAACCAATTTGAACGGCACTGGATTAAATGGTGTGAAGAAATTGTCTCTTTTCTCTTATCTTACCAGAACCTGATCGCCCAACTTGAACACCAGATGGTTTCGCATTCATGGACTTATCAGCATACGCTTTTGTCTTTGCATCTCTCTCACGAAGTTTCCAGGTCCGACCGACAATCAGCATGCAGCTCTGGCAACTTCCCTCTCATCTTCCTGTTAAACAATAATTCGGCAGGGCTTTTACCGGTTGTGGTGTTACCAATACCTTGCTATTTAGTCAGATATATTCTTAATTTCTTCACCCAGTCTAACCCTTCAGCTTGGGCGATGCGAATCCTCTTCATCAGGCATGCATTTTGCCTCTCAACCTCCCCGTTAGCTTGGGGCCACTTCGGTGTGGTCTTAAGGCGTACAATTCCATCCCGCTTACAGTACCCCTGGAATTCTTCTGAGCAGAACAGTGGTCCACTTTCTGACTTAATAGTCATGGGAAGGCCATGGCGGTTGTGACTGTTGATGTCATGATTGTATAATCATAATAGCTGCTGTAATAGTCAACAACTAAAAGTATCGAGTGTCCAGATGGGAGTGGCCAGGTCTTGCCAAGGACCCTGTGGTAGTGTCGTGGACCTCAATGGCACTGCACGTGCGGATCTGGACGACCTACTAGTTGAGATCCGTAACAGGATTTGCAGAATTTCTCCGCTGTCTTATCCATACGAGGCCATTACACTTTACCTTTCAAATTTTGCTTTATCCCCACGATGCCCAAGTGTCCCTCATGGGCTAAGGTGATTGCTTGAGACCTGAGCGTCTTCGGCAGTACAATATGGGTACCTCTTAGGAGTAGATGTGCAATAACGTACAGTTCACCTGCGGTTAGTGCATCACCCTTGCATTTCTCAAATCGGCCGGTTTTAATTGCTTCTCTCGGAGCTTTCAACCCTTCATCCACCGCGACTGCTTCTTCAAGTTCTCTTGTAGCTAGTGCTCGTGGTGTGGCACTGACGGCTGCGAATCGGACATAATCGTCTGCTCCGTGTTAATGATTCGCTGCTTTGTCCAGCTTTAACAGACTGGAGAGTGGATCAGCTATATTGCTCTTCCCTGGAGTATACACAATCCGGAAGTAGTAGGGTCGTAGGCGCATTACCCAATATTCAATGCGGGCGCAGGGCCTGGAACGGAGCCCATAGATGACTTGTAACGGATTTGTGGTCAGTAACCAGATCAAATTTCATTTTATAAGTGTACAAGAGAAAAGACTTCTTTTTTCGGTGTGGGAGTACTTGCGCTCACAATCTCTGAGGCCGCGGCTTGCATTGCAAATCGACATCCATGCTCCATTCTTGTTCTGTACTAACACGGCTCCAAGGCCAGCTGGACTTGCATCTGCAATGACTTTGGTTGCTGCAATTTTGTCAAAGTATGCTAATGTTCCTGCTTCGGCCACTCTCTGTTTCAAGGTCTTAAAAACAAGTTCTTGCTCGGGTCCATATTGAAATGGAACATCCTTCCTGGTTAGTTTCCTCAATGTTTCGGAGAGGGTAGCAAAATGAGGAATGAATCTGCTGTTGTAATTGGCCAATCCCAGGAAACTTCTTACTTCACTGACAGTGGCAGGCTACCTTGTTTCTTGCAAAGCTCTAACTCTTTCTTCTGTTAGGCCAATTCCATTTTCGGAGAGAAGAATGCCCATAAAAACCACTCTATCCACGCTGAATAGGCATTTGTTAGCATTGAGAGTTAAACCATGCTGCCTGAGGCGTTCCCTAGTTTTGTGAAGGCACTGGCCGTGAGTCGTCTGGTCTGGGCCATGAACTATGATGTCGTCAGAGATATTGCCAACTCCTTCTATTCCGGCCAAAGCTGTAGATATCTCATACGTCTATAGTTGGTATAGGGTATCTGCCACGTACTATGGCTTTGTTAGTCGTCCACCTTCAAGATAATCACTACTGGGTTCACCCATGGTGTAGGTTCATCTACCTCCTTTATTATATCACAACGTATCAATTCTAGAAGCTATCCTCTACCTCATCTTGCATATTGAATGGACTAGCCTCAGTAGTTGGGCTACTGGTTTCACTGCTTGATCTATGTGTAATGTTACTTATGCTTAGACTTCAACTTTCCAATCCCTCTAAACACTTCCGGGAATTTTTGCTGCAGTCTCCGTTTGGTTTCAGCAACCGTAGCAATATCGACACCTATTTTAAGCATACCCAACTTCATTGCAGTGGTTTTGCTCAGGAGTGGTATTACCTTTCCTTTGATAACTAGAAATTCGGTTTGAACTCTTTCTTTACCAACCAACACTTCACATATAAAACGACCTTTTACTGGAAGAGGCTCGCTGGATGCAAAAGCATACGGTGTTCCATCTACTGGATTGGCTTACCCTTCTTAGCTTTAAAATCTTCCCAAGTCCATTCATCGACAATGATATTGGTGGTCCCGAATCCCCCAAAATTTCTAAATCTACTCCAACCATGGACGTATTTGACTGGACACCATTAGTGACCCTGAATGAATAATCATTTTGCTCCCCAATGGCTTGTTGTTCTTCCTGTACCTTATTAACTCCTGTTTTCTTTGGTTTGGTTTTGCACTAGCAAAGTGATATTATTTTTTGCATTTTTTACATGTTTGACCTCTGGATCCCCACCCAGGTGATCACTCAGTCCACAACGATAGCACCGACTTTCTCTACTCTTGTTACCTTTACTCCTTTGTTGACCCTTTGGTCTCCCACGGTTTTCTTATATCCTGTGCGCATCTTCTTTAGTCGGTTCACTGCAACAACTGGGACATTTGGTCTTCTACACTTTCACACTGTTCTGCAAGTTCTAGTGTGCGTGCAAGAGTTAGCTCTTCCCTTTCCTCAAACAACTTACTTCTTACATAGTCTGATCAATATTTGCACAGGACAGCGTCTCTTATCTGGTTGACAAAGTCTGCCCCAAAATTGCAATCTTTCCCTCCTTTCCCCAATTGAGCTGCAAAACAGTCTCACCTCGCTGATGTTGGAGTCGGTGAAATTTTTAGCGAGCAAAAGTGGAGTTGACGTTGGAAACGAAATATCCATTCAATGCTGTGATAGCCGCGACGTAGTCAGTTGCTTTGCCGGTGTCCGCGAGAGTAGCGAAGATTTTCGTTGTTTCGTGGTTGCATTTGTACCCTCAGTGAATATTAGGCCTTTGCCATCCTTGAATAATTCAAAAGATGTTAACCATCGTTTCGATCGCGGTCTCAAAGTGGCGGGTTTCGAGTGACAATCGAACTTAGAAATCGCATTTGAAGCGCCATTTTCGCTCCAAGACGTCTTGTCTCTCACTGAATTATCCTTGTCACCAATGTTGTATCTTCTTAATACACTAATAGAGGATTGCTAGTCGTGAACGTACAACTGGAACTAGCATGAAAGAAAGCATAAAACTTCTCGACCATGTGCTCCGTCATTCACTACATGTGATGTACGTTTACACAAAATGTATCTCACTCACTACTTCATTTAATACACGACAAATGCCAAGGGTGAATAGTTTCCTGGATACACTTCCAAGCTTCCAACGCCACCAGTGCAGATATAACGCTGTCTTTGTGAATTTTTAATGCAATTGTCTTCTTATTCAGCTCTTCTGTTGATAAACCTTTGTGTTTGGTATCTTTACGTCTTGAAATATTCGAGAAAGAAAATAAGTAATTCATGACATGGTCGCCGTTTCTTCGCATTGTTAAAGACAAACAACAAATAAACAAAAAAAGCTATACAAAGAAACTAGTTTGCAAACCGCATAACTGCCCCAGGCTAGGCTTATTAAGTTATGCATGCCTTTATCAGAGCTAGTTGAATAGCTCTGGATCTACCTACCTCATCAAATGCATATAATTTTAAACGGCAGAGACAGCGCGTTGAAGTATCATGAAATTAATAGTAGCAGTAGCAGGAGCCCGGATATCGGTACTCCTTACATACACCAGTCTTTCTTATCGAGGATTAAAAGATAACCTTTTGTGCTAGGAAACCCCGTATATGGCCGCTGGTTTCTAGATGGCACTGATCCGGAAGTAAGGTTAGTAGGTATCTAGCCCTTGTAGCAGGCACCGGTTAATTTTTTTAGAGGGCAGGCGAGGGGAACAGGCGAAGAGGAGAGGAGGCGCCGGCAGCGAAAGCCCTAGTTTTCCGCTTTCTACGTTCTCTGGCGGTGCGTAGAATGCCATTCGTTAAGAACGCCTCTTGGGAGTTAGTCTGTCACCTCAATACATTATTTGTCAGTCAACAGAATTTCAATTCTTGTTGTATAACACGCGTGTGGCATGACAACGGCATAAGAACTGTTTGAATTGTGCTCGCAAGATTAGATTTTGGTTTTCATTTTCGAAAAGTTTTGCTCCGTCTTTTTTTGGTAAAGATCATTTGGCAGTATTACCAACTGGGTTCGGAAAAAGTGTAATTTTCCAGGTATTTGTTTTGGGATGCGAAGACCGGAACCGTCTTTGTAGGCGTTGTTGTTATTTCCCCTTTGAAAAGCATAATTCAGGATCAAGCAGCCGAGGTACCTTCTACGGGAATGTCAGCGTGTGACCTGACAGAAAAACTGGACTGTTTAAGCGAAATACATTAAGGAAAGTATGACATTGTACTCGTCACCTGAAGCGGCGATGGACAAAAGATTTATGAATTTCATTAAAATCCCCATCATTGATCAACATGAGCTTTTGTTGACGAAAGCCAGAACGGAACTTAGGTAAGCCTGTTCGTCGTGTTTGTTCCATTTCTATAATTACATCGTTTGTTTCATGCAGATATTACAAAAATACTAGCCTTTGGGTCTGATGTCGATTTCAGGTCGTCAGAAGATCTGTTTTCAATCAATTCTTTGTCAGTTGATGCAGCGCTATCACGTAATTAACATTGGGGGCATAAATGAAAAACTAGGATCTTCGCTGCAGGCGCTCCCTCTCCTTTCCTTCCCTCACGCGCGCGCGTCCCCGAATTTTCTCTTTTCGCCCTAAAAAATGCCGGCGCCTGCTACGCAGGCTAGTAGGTATCTATATTTTGTCCATCATCATTGCTTTTAAACCTCGGAACCAGGCGGGGGGTGGGGTGGGGTGGATGCCACACGCCTGAATGTTTCTCTCGGATTTAATTTGAAAAGATTTCGAGCGAGAAACGTCTTCTCTTCCGTAGCTGTTAACTCTTCCTAAGACACACTTTGACAAGCTTTGGTGAAAGTCGGATGCAATGATTAATATATATATTTAGCCAAGCCTAAAAGCGGAGCTCCCGTTTTTATTACAATAATAATAATAATAATAATAATAATAATAATAATAATACTAGTAGTAGTAGTAACAATGATGATGATCGTTTTATTCACACTGGTGCACAATACGATATAACCTAGTTGTAAATACTGACACCAGCCAGTCGGTATTGAGTTGTAGTCTACCACACAACCACATTTGTCAAGTATTTTGCTGCTTGATGAGAGAAAAATATTTGTAGCGGAGCTCCACCCGCGCGCGAAGCGCGCGTGTGGACGGAGCCCCATAGCTAAGGAAATGTGGTAATCTATCCATCCGAGAAAATTTGGTAATCACGTGACCGTACGCCCGACCGTCCGTCCGCACCACAGGGAAACCAATGTTTACACTCACACTTTCCAGCTAGTTTGGGAGCCCAATAGAAAACTAATTGCACATCAATGTTGTAATCAATTGACGGCTGTCAAAACAGGATATCCGCTGACCAGTATCACCTGACCGTACCGCGGGCTCAAGTGTCGACCCATCGAGGCCGAGTCCTTTTTTGAAGTCATCCGCTGACAAATTACCAGTTTCAAATGATCGCAGGCTCAGGTTTATTTTTTCCAATGATTCATATGAAATACGTTGTGTTTATGTCACTATGGCCCCACACTGTCAAGATTTTGATTTCAAACTGACCTCGGACGCAAAAATTCAGCCACTTTTTTAAAAATAAAGGCGGGGAAGACCTTTTCTTACCATGGTCACGCGTTGGTCACGCTCTACGTCCAATTTTTGTACTCTGATTGGTCAAAATGTGACAGGTGAGTTCATGCGGAAAATTTATGCAGCATCTTGAAAGTTGTTTACTTTGACAGCAAAAGCTGACAGAGTTTTGTGTCAACTTGTGATGTTTTTAACTGTCTAAATCTTTTTCCACTGGATGTACAAAATGAAATACAGCTGCTATCGAGAGTCTTCTGTTATCCATGGCTGGTTTGTTTATTGGGTTTTTGGTTGAGAAATGCGTCGCTTGTCAAAATTGGTTAATCCGATTTCAGATGGCATCGTTTTCGTCTTTCACCTTGCTCAATGCGTAAGAGGGTTTAAAAGTCTCAAGCAACTATGGCCTTCCTTGATATCTTTCAGGAATCGAATCTCGAATGGTAAGCCGGAATAATTATTGTCTTTGATGTTTGTTTTTGTTATATCTAATTTCATGAAGTCGAGCACAGTTTATGCGGCACGTTTTCGCACGTTTGTTGAGATTTGAGTCAATGATCTGATCTAGTATCAGGTCTGATATAAGCTTACAGAACTTTAAATGGCCTTCAGATATATTTTCTCACGGCAAATAGAAAAAGAAACGTTCGGAAGAATATTTAGTTATAAATTTGGCTGTAGAAAGAAAACTTTGAGTGATTTTCTTGTTTCGAGGAGTTCATC